AAAAGATCCTTGGCAGAACACTTTCCTAATGCATATTGTTGTTAATTTCTTTACTATGGCTTCTATTGGTATTTATTGTATCCAATTAAAATTAAATACTGTTTTTTTTTAAAAAAACCAACCAACCAACTACATCCTCAGGCACAAGAAGTAAAGTAGGCAAAAACAAGTTTTCAGTGCTGCTTCTGCACACCTGAAACCCATAGAGAAAGAAGGATGCTTTGATTACCTGACTAAGGAGGAGAAGTAAAATCACAGCTTTCTCTGAGCAGAAGATGGGGCAGCCATAGAGGAAGACATTGTCTTTTGGTCAGATGTCCTCAGAAAGCTGGAGCCACAAGCCAAAACAGGAACAGAACAGCCACAGACCTGCTCCAGCAAACACAATACAGCCTTCATTGCTGAGCCGAGAGGTGTCCAAGAAAGAGGCCAGCAGCCTTCTCTTTGCTGCTTTCAGTGAACCACTTGGATAAAGAAGTTTGGTTCTCACTGCTGGTGGCCAGCTGCTTGGGAGCTGAGGTTGAAGGAGCATGATCAGGTATTTATTTTTTAGCCTACTTAAAGTTTAACACTTCAGAGTTAGTCATAAGATGGGGCAAAAAGATTAAAGAATATTTTTTTTAAAAAAAATACACAACAAAACATAAGGGGAAAACCACACAAAACTAATAAAGCAACACACACCACTTTACACATTAAATATGTTATTGTTGTTAAGTGCCATTGAGTCAACTCTAACTCATGGTGACTCTACGTAAAATGGAAGGAAATCTGTGCCAGTCTCACAACCTCTGCCATGCTTATGCCCATCATTGAAGTCACTGTGTCAATCCATTTCATAGAGGATCTTCCTCACATGATCCTACACTTTTCCAGTCCCTGATGTCCTTTCCAGGGACCCAAGGGAGGTCTGGTGACCTAGTGATAAGAGTTGCACTGTGTCCACCACTTTCCTTGCGAGTCAAAGATGGGAAATCACCTCTCCTATGATTTACAACTTCTGAAAACCCACTGGAGAGTCAGTTATGTGTCAATTCTGACTCGACAACACATAACAATACGTGATTAGGCATATATGTTCGACAAAAGCCCAGAATAAGAGACATATCATTGCAAAGGGGGATGGGGGTGGGAAGGTAGGTGACTGTGCAATAATGAATGAATACGGAAAAAAAATTAAACTGGGGGGAGGGTGGAAGAAGGGGTAAAATGTACAACAATGAATGAAAAATCTAACTTCTCTGTAATAAAATTTTATTTGGAAAAAAAAAAATCTTGCTGATAACACCTGAAGTATATGAAATTACATTTTACCATGATTCCTTCTAGGGAGCACTTAGGCTGCATTTCTTTCAGATTATATTTGCTATTTATATAAATGATATTTGGCAGTCCATTAAACATAGAATTAACCAACACCAAGTGTCATCAAGCTGTTGCTGACTCAGAGTGACCTCAAGTGTGTCAGAGTAGAAATTGCCTCATAAATTTACAATGGCTAATTGTTTTGAAAACAAACCACCATGTCTTCTGAGATTCCTCTGGGTGGATTTGAACCTGCAATTTATCAGCACCCAAGTAGCTTTTTAAAAAAATCTGTAATCTGTAACCACCCAAGTGACTTTTGCAGCACCCAAGTACTCCAGGTACAACATCACTGAAACCAAATGCACCGCCACAGAGCTGGTTCTAGGTTTTTTTAAGGTGTAAATGTTTAGGGCAGGAGACTATGGCCTGGGTCAGGCTCACTATAATCTTTAGATGTATGTCATTGTTCTTTAGCACTCTGAAGAGATCCTTGATAACATATTTTGCCAAAGAAACTCATCTTTTGATTTCCTAACTGCTGATGTCTTTCATATTTTGGTACTATGGACTTGTTTTGATTTTCTTTAGATTCAATTTAAATTTAAACTTAAATTCAATTTAAACTTGCACATTAGTAGTTGATGGTCTGTTCCACAGTCAGTACCTGGCTTGTTTTCACAGCTGGTATTGAGCTTTGCCAACATTTCTTTCCACAGATGTAATCAGTAATCAATATGATTTGTGTGTTGTCTATCAGATGAGGTCAATGTGTATAGTCACTGTTTATAGTGTTTTTTAAAAACTGGTTATATAAAACAGTGTATGAAAATGATTGTATAAAGCAAATGTACATGAATGAAACAATGCATATGAATGATTGTATAAAAGTGAATTTAGTATAAATAAATACTAAATTTTAAAAACCAATAAAAATCCTATCTTTCAGGTTAAAGCAAAGGATGTCTATGATGTGTCCCTCTTTGAAGTTTTCCTGGTAGCTAGTTCCTGTATATTTTTAGAATTTAATTCTTCTTCCTGAGAGACCACACTTGTTTCACCACCTCACTTTTCTGAAAGGCAAATGGGAAAAGAGAAGATGTATTTAACATCTCACTGTCTTCCTTCTCCCATTAGATTGGGAAGACAGGAAAAGTCTGATTTTTGAGTTCTTCCTGCTTCAGTAATTACTTATGTCTTTGTCTCTCTCTCTCTAGGATGTGTTTGCTAATATCCTGCTGATTGATAGTAAATGTGCATTTCTGGCTCCCATGTCCACATGGTAGGACTAAGAGCACCGGTTATATTTTTCTAGATGTAGAAACCTCTTTTTCTGAGTTGGAAATGGAGAGATATAGTGGATAGCCCAAGTTTGCTAAAGGATAAACAACAGTTTGCAATCTGTTGTTACGTGCCATCAAGTTGAGTATGATTCATAGCAACCCTACGGCAACAGAGTGAAACCTTGTGCTGTCCTTGTGTCATCCTTATCATCTCAGATACAGTGGAGACCATTGTTGCAGATATTGTGTCAATCCATTTGGGTCTTCTTTTCTTTTGCCAACCTTCCATCTTTCCATACATGATATCCCTTTCTACAGAATAGCTTCTCCTAACATGCCCACAGTATGTGAGACAAAGTAATCTTTGCCACCAAGGAAGACTCAAGACTCTGGGTGCATTTTTTCACAAGACATATCAGTTTGTTCTTGTGGCAGTCAATTGGATATTCAATACTCTCCTCTAACACCACAGCTTAACAACATTAGTTTTTCTTTTGTCATCCTTATTCATTGTCCAGCTTTCAGATGCATCACAAGTGATGGCTTAACTGTTTGTGTTTCCATTAAATGTATTTCCAATGAATCATTGATTGTACAAAATTCCATCATTGGATCTCCAGCTTAATTTCTGTCCCCAAGCCTGTATTTTCCCACTGCTGATACTTCTTTCTTGTTCCTAACTTTTATATTCCAGTCACCAATTATTCATGTTCAATCGATTTCAGGGTGCAAAAGTTGGTAGAAATTTTCTATTTCCTCCCTTTTGGTGTTAGCTGTTGGTGCATGTATTTGAATGATAGTGATATTAACAGGTTTTCCTTGTGTATATATGAATATTATCTTGTCAATCACAACATTATACTTCAGGGTGGGTCTAGAAGTGGTCTTTTTGGCTATCAATGCAACCCTGTCTTTCCTTACTTTTTCATTCCCAGCATAGTAGGGATGAGTTGTATGAGTCATAGCAATTCTATGAACATTAGATCTGCACCTTGCCCAATCTTGTGCCATCCTTACTATCTCTTGAGCCCATTGTTACAGTCCCTGTGGCAGTTCACCTTCTCAGGGATCTTCCTTTCTTCTGCTTACCTTCTACCTTTCCATGCATGATGTCCCTTTCCAAGGAATAGTCCCCCCTCACTTTTTTTTATACAAGCAACAATTGATTTATTATAATTACCTTTTATTACAAGTACAAATGATAACTATACATATGGATCTCACCTGATGGACTACATAGAATCAGATTGATTAGATCTGTGGAAAAAAAAACACATTGGAGCAGCTCAATATCAGTTGTGAAAATCAGGCCATATGCTGATTGTGGACCAGACCATCAAATAATCATGAAGTTCAAATTAAAAAAAAATTTAAGTGTACAAGAACCAAAATATGCCTGTGAGTCTATTTCACTTGAATTTAAAAACCATGTCAAGGAGCAAGACTGGGAGCTGAGCCCCAGGGAGCTAAGCCCTTGGGAGTGAGCTGGACAGCTGGAGTTTGAGTGAGGTACTTTGTGGGATTTACTGCTGTGTTTGGACTACGTGGGACCCCAGAAGCTCAAGCAGAATGGAATGAGACAGCTGGAGCTTGAGTGAGGGGCAGACCCAGTTCTCCAAGAAAAGTAAACCAAGGCTTCCTGGTTTTCTTTTCAGGTCCCTGCTAGTGCCCACCCTGCGAATGTCTAGGTGTGGACCAGACCTCTTTGCATTAAAGCACGCTCCCATGCCCAGCAGCATGCCTGTGCCTTATGCAGCCCACCCACACCCTATGCTAGTGTGCTTGTCTCCAGGCCCTACCTTGCATCTCCTCATGTCCAGGCAATTAACTGCCTTTAGTCCAGACCGCCTTTGACTGGCCTGGCTATAACACTTGTCTGAAGAGGAGACTGCCTTCACAGGCCTCCTCAAAACTCCCCCTGAAGATTTGAAGCAGGATGGACCAAAAAACTAGTAACAACACCAAAAAGCACTCAATAAAACCTTACCTCTCAATAATCACACTGAATGTGAATGGTTTAAATGAACCACTGAAGAGAAAAAGAGTACCAGATTTGATAAAAACCCAAAATCCATCAATAGGCTATCTACAAGAGGCACACCTAAAGAGTGAAGATAAAGTCTAAAAATAAAAGGGTGGGGAAAAATATACAAAGCAAATGGCAACCAGAAAAAAGCAGGAGTAGCAATATTAATCTCTAATAAAATAAATTTCAACGCAAAGACCATCAAAAAGGACAAGGAAGGTCACTGCATAATGCTTAAAGGGTCAATAGAACAAGAGGAAATAATAATAATAAATATCTATGCACCAAATGATAGACCTGCAAAATATATAAAACAAGCATTAATAAAACTGAAAAATAGACTACACCACTATAGTAGTTGGATACTTCAATAAATCACTCTCAAGACAAGATAGAACTACCAGAAAAAAACTCAAGATGCTGAAGAATTAAACCACACAATAAACCAACTTGCTCTCAGATATTTATAGGCTAATGCACCCCCAAAAAGCACTTCTTCTTCAATGTGCATGGAAAGTTCTTGAAAGGATTTTGAAGCTTAATTTCTCATACTTTGGGCTTGTTGCCAGAAGGAACACACCTTGGAAAAGGATAGCATGTTTTTGGAGAAGGATAACATACTTAGAAGGCTGGAATGTCAGCATAAGAAAGGAAGACTTTAGATGAGATGGATTGACATAGTGATTGTGGCAATAGTTCTAGATGTTTCAGACAGTGAGGTTAGTTTAAGATAGGACAAGGTTCAGAACCACTGTTTATAGGATTTCTATGAGTCATTGTCAATTCCATGGCACATAAACACAATAAAAACAAAGCCAAGATATGCGAGATGAAGGTTTGCAATACTTGTCTCCAAGGAGCATCTTGTTTGCATTTTCTCCAAAATATACTTATTTGTTCTCTTGACAGTCCATGAAGTACTCTTCTCCAATACCACATCTCAAAGGCATTGAGTTTTCTCCTGTACTTTTTTTACTCATTGTCCATCTTTCACATGCACAGCAAACAAACAAAAGATTATGACTTGAATCAGATGTACTTTAGGCGTTAAGCTAACGTCTTGCCCCTTAGAACTTTGTAGAGGTCCTTGATAGCAGATTTTTCAAATAAAACACATCCTGTAATCTCGTGATGACTGGTCCAACAGTGTTGATTTTTAATCAAAGCAAGATGAAATCATTGACATAACTTCAATCTTTTCTCCATCTATCACAATGCTGTGTATTGGTGTGGTGGTAAGGATTTTTTCCTTCTTGATGTTGAGATGTAATTAATATTGAAGACTGTAATCCCTGATCTTCTGCAGCAAATACCTCAAGACCTTTTCACTTTCAGCAAGTAATGTTGTCTTCTACATAACACAGGTTGTATGTGAGTCTGCCTCTGATTTTGAAGCCATACTCCTTTTTATAAAGCCAACTTCTCAAATTATTTTCTTAGCATTCCAAGTGAACAAATATGGAGAAAAGATATAGCCCTTACTCTCCTTTCTTGATTTTAAATTATGCCATATTTTATTGCTATGTTTCCACAACCAGCTGTTGATCTTGGCATATGTTTCACATTTTGCAGTCGGCAATCAATCGAACATGCCACCAAGATGCATTAATAACAATGGGTGACTGGAATGCAAAAGTTAGGAACAGGGAAGAAGAATCAGTAGTTGGAAAACTCAGACTTGGTGACAGAAATAAGGCTGGGGACAGAATGATAGAATTCTGTACAATCAGTGATTTATTCATTCCAAATACTTCTTATAAGAAACATAAACACAGACTTTATACACATGGATTTCACCTGATAGTATGCACAAAATCCAGATTGATGACATCTGTGGAAAGAATCGTTAAAGAAGTTCAATATTGGCAGTAAAAACTAGGCCAGGTGTTGACTGTGGGACAGACCATCAACTATTCAGATGCAAATTCAAATGAAAGCTATAGAAGTTTAAATAAAAAACACAGGATTCAAAATTTGATACTGAGTCTATCCCACCTGAATTTAAAAACCATTTCAGGAACAGGTTTGAGGCCTTGAATACTAATGAATGAAAACCAGATGAGCTGTGGAACGATATCAAGGAAACAAGAATGCAAAAGAAAGAAAATAAAAATAAAATTATTTCTTACAAAAAAAAGAAAGCAGACTCTAAATATTGAACTAGAGCACTGAGAAGCCAAAGCAAAGGGAGGAAATCAAGAATTTAAGGAGCTGAATAGAAGATTTCAAAGGCAGCTCAAGAAGACAAAACAAAGTATTATAATGAAATATTCAAAGAGCTGGAGTCAGAAAATCAAAAGGGCCAAGCTTGCTCATCATTTTTTAAGTTGAAGGAACTAAACAATAAATTCAAGCCTCAAGTTACAATATTTAAGGATACAATGAGCAAAATATTGAATAATTCAGGAAGCATTAAAAGAAGATGGAAGGAGTATACAGTGTCACTGTACCAAAAATAATTGGCTGAGACAGAAGAATTTAATGAAACAATGTATGATCAAGAGCCTAAGGTGATGAAGGAGGAAATTCAGACTGCTCTGAAGGAATTGACAAAAAACAAAACCCCAGGAAATGATGGAATAACAATTGACATATTTCAACAAACAGATGCTGCCCTGGCTGTGCTCACCAGGTTGGGCCAAGAAATTTGGAAGACAACTACCTGGCCAACTGACTGGAAGAGATTCATATTTATTCCCATTCAAAGAAATGTGACTTGACAGATTATGGAAATTATAGAACAATATCATTAATATCACATGTAAGTAAAATCCTGCTGAATATTATACAAAATGACTGGAACAGTATATCAACAGAGAACCACCAGAAATACAAGCTATTTCAACAAAAGATTATAGATAGTTGCTATGCCTTAACATTAAATTACTTGGAAAGGTGGAGAGACAGTGCAGGAGAGGAAGATCCCAGATGAGATGGACCAACAAAGTAACTGGGGTAATAGGGTAGGTTTGTTGGAGATAGTGATATTGACTCAGGATAGAGCAGGGTTCAGAGCTATCGTGCACAGGATTGCTGAATCACAGCTGACTCAGTGGCACATAATGCCACCACCAACACTACTACCATCACCACATTTTTTTTAGAAAAAGTTAAAAAAATAATTAAATTATCTTTTAAATGAGGGAGCTCTTGTGGCCTGGTGGTAAGGAGCTATGCTGCCAACATGAAGACACACAGG